ACGTATGTATAAATTGAGGGTGAATGTTTAAAATTACGAAGTATTCGATTCAGCCAGTAAATGTGCGATGGTCTATAAAGCCAATAAATCAATTAGACACTTTTAAGAAAACTATTAAATGAGACACGGGAAGGGGGAGAATGAATTTTAACAGCAATTTGCACATATTTGGAATACCTACTTGCCTTAAAATGCAACTCGATCCAAATATTTTTCCAATTTATTCTTAGAGAGAATATCAGCAGAATATAACAATTGACTAGTAGGGAGCTGGAGGAAATTCTGTCCTGCTAAATAGACAACGATAAATAAACTATTTAATAATTAATGACAACCTGGCTACCTGCATTAAAGTGAAAAATAGATTATCTTCCACTTGGAAGTGGGGATCAGAGTCACTAGAGCTGGTCATCCATCAGATATGTTTTGACCATTGATCTATAACTTGAAGCCTGTCGAACAAATTGAATTTAACTAAGTTGCAGATGCTTTTTACAAGATTAATTGAGAGTTACCTCTGTTCCATTGGGCCAATAAAGCATAGTCCTTAAGAATGGCGTAATCGAATAAATTTCTTGCTTTATGCTCTTACTTATTCCGTGATTATTATAATAATATAACAGTATTCTGCATACACCTCGTACTCTCAGCCCTCTTACTCGTGTGACATGCCTTCAATAGCTTATTCAGCGTCCGATGTACTGCATGTGATACAGCAATTCTACCCAACCAGCTGGTACTTCACTCACTCCTTCCGCATGAGCCTCCTGGATCACCTCTCCAATCTAACCTGGACTTGACTGAAGCCATAGACCCTTCCGTTCATCCTAACGAGCATGGCAATGCAGAGGGGAGTATAGAAGCTCAAAGAGGAGACCTTGTTGTTTTACCACCCCTTTCCAGACAACGATTCCTCTCACGCAAGCCTATCTGGTCCACGCGGGCACTGCCATATCACCTTGAGTGCTTTTCGTGCTATATTTGTGGCCGGATTCTTACACCAGGCGAGCGATATGTTCTGCGTGCCTGCACTGATCCCCGACGAGCTGCAATCAAGGCCTACGGTTATTCAGTTGGCGCCAGCAGCTACATAACTCCACTTCCCATGTGCTTGAACGACTATCTAACGGAATTACGTCACCATACACAGGCCTTAGAGGAGGCGACATCGCAACGGCCAATTTCAACTAAGCACGATCTTGGTGTTTCTTTGGCCAGTCCGGAGCCTTTCATTGCGGACGTTGGCGGCGATAAGTGGACTTCTAATTTGGATGAAATTAACAATTTGTCCGTAGATGGTGAGCATAGGACACGGGAAAAATGCGGTGAGTTAGGCGACGGGAAGACGATGATAGAAGACGAACAGGAGAAAGAACAGGATGAAGAGAATGGAGCAGAAAGCGGAGAAGAAGAGAATCAAGTAGAAGAACAGGAAGAATATGGAGAGGAGGATAACATTGAAAATAAGCAAAAGCAGTGCCTCCAGCAGCCAGCCTGGCTTATGGATTCAACATGCAGTGCAAATCGGCTTTTGAAGCAGACCCTCATATTAGCACAAAACAAATACACAACCCGGCACCACTTGAGATCTCGCCGATCTTCAGGTCAGACGAAGGTCTCAGTAGCACATTCACAGTTGCCGGAGTCTCCAATGCTTAGTTCCTATCCTAGCCGACTCTCATCCGTCGGGCTGCCGATGAAATGTTTAAGTGAACTGTTCCCGACTCAGACTCCTTTTCCAGGCATGGATCATAATGATCCTCACAAAGTGGCCCTCACCGTAACCCAAAAAGCCGGGGTGCATATAGAAGTGAGCCTTGACCCTGGAACGCAGAGTAGCAGTGGCCTGCAACCGACACACGGAAGGTCGAGAGAGACCACACCCCGACTTGAATCCGCAGGCGGATCTAGTGATGGCGCCGCAGGTAAGGACTGAATATGTCTTTACGACTTTG